AACAAATCAGCCAGTAGGGGTGCACAACTAGTAGACATTGGAATACCGACTGTTTGTTGAAATATCAATCCTCCAAACTCAACAATCATATTGTCGATTAAAAAGTCTAGCATTTTGATAATATCATCTTCAGTATATTTTCCGGTAGAATCAGTGTGGTTCTTTACAAAATAAGAATTATTATAACCGAAAACAAAGAAATTTATATCTACCATTCCCTTTTTTATAGAAAAAGCTCTGTTAAATGAGATGGTGTAGTCGATCTTTTAATTGCGCATGGGGAATAGTAGTGTAAAGCGTAGAAAAATCAAACAATTTAATGTTGCTGCAAAATTGCAGAGATTGTTTTCTAAGATTTAGCAGTAGATCTTTAGAATTTTTAAGAATCCACATCTGATTGACACCACTGGTGGAATATATCTCATCACAATATTTTTGAAGGCTATCTTTTACTGTAGAAAGAATAGTAGTCAGCACTTTTGAAAGATGTTCAGTTGGACATCTTGATGATCCGGCTATGTATCGTTCTTTGTATGGAGTTTTGTGAAGTTTTAGTATCCAGTATAATGACGGTAGATTTTCTTCGTTTTCTTTGATGTTAATTCCAAAAGAAAGAACGACAGATTTGTGATTTTGTAAAATTTCATCCTTTGTAAATGATGTTAAAGAATATGTAGGATTACTAGTTTTGCTGTATATTCCAAGCTCTTTTGTGAGACATTCCAAGTAATGGTTTTTACATATGAAGACAATATTATTGGAGGCTGTATCTGCTGGAACAACGACATATTTGTCATGCAAAGAGGATAAAGCATCCACAACCTCCGGGTTCTTCAATAGGTTAGAAACCCTTGTGCTCATAGTACATCGTAGTTTCTGAATGCGTTTCTGAATGCATGATCAAATAGCTTTGATCAATTTAGACAGAGTGTCCAGTTCTGTTTCATCTGGCTCGCGCTTTACCCATTTTCTGGCATAGTCTTCAAATGCATTCATCAGTAACCTGAAGTTCTTTTTCCAGTTGATGGGCTGAGGAATTCTATATTTTGGTCCCTTGGCTAACAACTCTCTTAGTTGTTCATTGGTAACGATGCCAAAGTCGACAGTAATAACATGACCAGCTGGACTATAATTGAATTTTGACGATGCACATGAGCAATCCGGAGGTTTGGATTTCTTATCTTTGAGGTTAAAGGCCTCTAAAACGGAGGACGCTTGCATATCTCTAGTATTCTCTCTTGTTACATCACGACTGGGTTATGATTATGCTTTAATGTATGGTGTGATTGCCACCACGACTTCAGCGTGTTCAGAACACCGCTGCAAGGCTAGTAACCCGCAAAAAGAGGTGAATCTTCACTGGTTACGAATTTAATTCCGATTCCAATATAAACTGTTGCTGTACACATTCAAAGCATTGCATGTACTTGCTCCTTCTTATCTTAGAGAACTCATACATTATTTTACAAACTGGCACGATCCTTGCGATCTGAAAATGCTGCTTTAATCGAGATGCTTGGTCTATGATTGATTGTGTTTGACTGATTTTGAATTGCTGCAATAATATTTTATACTTTTTAATTTGATTTGTTGTGTTTCTGTTTATTTGGATAAAACTATGAGTTTTTACTATGAGTCGTTGTCTTTCGGTAATATATTTTATGAATACAAAGTAGAAGTAGAAAGATAAGTCTATCACTATTCAAAAGTCCATTTATAATACATTTGTATTCAGTTTAGATAATATTTTTTTGGCGATTTTTACTAATTCATTGATAATTTTGTAATCCATTTTTTTATCCAATTTGGTGAAGTATTTAGAGTCTTAAAATTTTATTTTTGATTTGATTTGTATGCTCTTAACTTTTTTTTTAATTTGCAGTTTCGTGTATGTACGAATTTGTGTATATTGTTTAACATGTAAAGCGCTAAGAGTAATTGTATTGGTTATATTATGCGCTTTACATGTTAAATGTTAAAATAAATAATAATAATAATCACCTTTCATCCGAATTCATACTCTATCAAATTTCATAATCGGGAAAAAAAATCCAATCTGTAAATTACAGATCAGTCGACTATTCTGATATCGAAAGATCAAGAACGCGAAATATACCTGTCGTTAGTTAGAGCATTAATACACAGATACATCATATCGGGCAACCGGTTCGTGATGGTGACCGTGAAACTTATGAACTATCGTGATTAGTCGTTCTTCTTCATAACTCTGTTGAAGTAGTTTTTGTGTCAGGATCACATCAGCGTTAATCCTGGTATATATCATCACATTCATCATACATTCTATTTGTCGTCCAATATGTTATATTGTATCAAAAATGAAGTCATGGCCGATGATTATTTTATATCAATTTTGTAAGAAATTTATTGATTTTGGATTTAAAGATTTGATGAAAATAAGAGAACTTTAAGAAAGTTTCTGACCAATTTTACGTGCATTTTATATTTAAAACTTTTCCTTGAATCATATTTCAGAAAATAAAAGAGAAAAATTTATGATCTTTTCGATCTTTAGTTTAATATAAACATGCCTTTGTTGTGTGTAAAGTCTTGGCTCATTTCCTATAACTTGACCTACATGAAATCACTAACATTGACGTTCGCTTGAGACTTATTCAGTGGTTTTTTTTAATGATCATATATGGATAAATAAGATGATATAATCTGGACACTTTGGTGCACAAAACAAAACATAGTTGAGATGTGACAGTGATGTTATAAATGAGAGGCAAAATGAGTTTACCGAATATCAAACCATTCAGAAGATAAAAAATAAAGGAACGAACCCCAAAAGAGCGAGAATGTGTGCATCGACCAGGTAAGCGTATTCTGCTATGCAAATATCAATCGCCGCGCAAATCCGCACCCACTAAAATGTCATAAACAGGAATCGGACTGTCGTAAACAAATCGAAATTTACATATAACAGACTAAACGGTCAATTAATACACATTAATTCAAACATTACATACAACCCCCAGCATTTGAAAAAACATATTTTATTCATAAAACCTTCTCTGTAAAATATATAACGATTCTTGAATCTTATATAAATTATAATCTAACCTTTGAAATCATTCACCAAACACGTCAAATTATCTTAAAAGAAGCAGTTTATATTTAAGATACATAATGGAAAACTATAACAGTGGAATGCAGGGAGATGTGTGGTTTCATATTGGTGTCTTGATGGTAAATTAATGGTTCTGAAAACGCATTGAAAGAATGTACATTGTTTCTGGATATCAACACTATTTGAAGCTGTTTTGTTTCTTTCTCTTCTACATAAATATCACCGGACATTAAAGGAATGATTCCTTTCAGAAATCATTTTTTACGTTCAATGTTAAATGTTAATTACTTTTATACTGCTATAAAACGATTTGTAAGTTTTCCTATCAAATGTCACAATCTATTTAGAGTTATCAAACCACTCAGTTCAATTACGTCAACCATCTGTTCGCATGCTGTATCCTTGAAATGTTTGATATCTGGTATATCGAAAGTACGAGAAACGAGGAAGTGTCAAATAGAGATGTACAAAACAAAACCAGACTCAATTTTTACCTTGTTCCTTTCTCCTTTTTCGACATTCAAATTTTAAAACTAATCGAAGTAAATTATCGTATTATGTTTACATGCCAAACTAGACCTATTTGATATTCAGTTATTTTGCTTTTCTTTTCGATCCATTTCATATTCCAAAATGTCCTTACTATATTAAGTTTACAACACCGTTGTACGAAACAAAATTGGTGGAAGAGGCAACTCAAGGTGAAATAATAAGATTTTAATGTCGGTACAATAACAGAACGTGGAAAAACCTACGTACATTATGATTCTCCAAGCGCATAATTGTCCTCCACCTAAAATAAAGAGAAACCAATATGGTCAGATATTTTGAATCCTATTGTTTACGTGTTATCTAGTATGTGATATTGTAAAATTTTAAGATACATGTAATGAGCCTTACAATAAATTTCCACAACTGCTAAGCAAGGGGTCATTAACACCATACATTTAAATAGGCTGGAAATTCTTTTTTTCTTCTTCAATATTTTTTTAGATAACATATTTTGTAATATTGTAATTTCCCCTTGCGTGAATCGAATACAAATTGAAGCAAATCTTATCGTTTGAAGAGGTATATTGATGCAGATTCATGACTTTGACATCTGTTACTAAACACATATTTTTGTATTTGTTCAGCAACATACTATAACACACCATTACGCAGCCATACTTTTTGTAAAATAGTATTTGAAAATAGATAAAGAGTACGAACGTCTACAATAATACAATACGTATAGATTAAATGGTCATTCAAGCGGTCAGATTGGGTCCTTTTTCTAAGAAAACACCTTATTTTTGATGTATGCAATAGCAATAAACAAGATATAGATTACCATGATGAAATGCATACAAACACAACAACATTAGGTTTTGAAAATGCATAATTGTACGTTTAGGTTAACAGTTATATACATATGATAACAGTAATCAAAAACCTTTAAAGACAGCATTTTTAAATCTTTGTTTTGTGCAGGTCACATTGAAACATGTTTTTGCATTTCTGAATTAGTAAGAAATGTTCAATGGCGTAATTCCTATATGGATTTTTCCTGTCTTTTTTGACAATCGTCAAATTTTAGAATAAACCTTACGAATTCAACATGCTAAATTATGTTGTCACTGTGACGGATAGTACTACAATGGCATTCATCCTTGTACAGATGTAATTGCATCTAAAGTGCTGTCAAATTTATTGTGGTACGAAATATATATTGCTCACTGTGACAATCATATCGGGTTGAACGTATCGGTATTGTTTTATTGTTTTAAGATTTGATTTTTTAATTCTGTTTGTAAGTGGTTGTTATTGTTTGTTAAACTTTAAGGCTCTTTGGTAATTGACAAAGTAAGGCTACAGTTCTATTATTGGTTAAAATCTGGTGTAAGAAGGGATAATGTTTATATTACAGACAAACAGACGAGCAAATTCCTTACCAAATTCCAGTGAGTCAGACACAGAAAGAGAACCTTCACCTCCAGTTTCCCGACGAGGACGTAGATCTGCAATCGTTGACATGAAGGTAATTTATATGATAAAAATTAAAATAAACTATATGCATTATGAGTGTCTAACTTGAAACCTCCAGTTTTTGGTGGGGTACGTGTTGCTTAGTCTTTAGTTTTCTATGTTGTGTCATCTGTACTATTATTTGTCTGTTTGTATTTTTATTTTTGGCCATGGCGTTGTCAGTTTGTTTTCGATCTGTGAGTTTGACTGTCCCTCTGGTATCTTTCGTCCCTGTTTTGAAAGACGTCTAAGGTTAAATCGAGGTTTTCACTTAACTTTTTTTTTTTTTACATTTAGCAATAAGTTTTCTTTGTTGCTCTTGTTTACTATCTAGAAAGGTGATTTTATAAATTATTTGTTTATAATGTCACAGAAGCAATTTGGTAATTGATTTTCCTAAACAAGCAACTTCAATTTGATCATCGCAAAATGAATGATTGATCTAAAAGGATCACATAATTTCATTTAACATCGTATTTGACTTAATCTATTATTTACTGATTGATAAATCCTGCCCTTGTTTCTAAATATTGTATAGTATTATATATCGTCATAAAATGTGTGCGTCAATGCTATGAAATTGTGTGTTATTGTAACCTATATCATGTATATGATAAATATTAGATTCACCTATTATGTCTGTGTATTTTGCTCACCTATGCAACTGTCATACAAGTGAGAGGTTTAGCTAGCTATAAAACCAGGTTTTATCCACCACGTTTTACTTAAGGAAATGCCTGTACCAAGTCAGAAATATTTTTATTTCTTTGATGTGTTTGAGCTTTTGATTTTGCCATTTGATAAAGGACTTTCCTTTTTAAATTTACCTTTGGGTTCAGTATTTTTGTTATTTCACTTTTTAGATGTTCTTAAAGGGAGAAATCTATTGTGTTTGTAATAAGTGTTTTATATAAAAAAAAAAAAACAATCGTTATAACTGAAGTAGAGGCAACAGAAGTTTACCGATGTTCAAATCTCATAAAATCTATGAAGAATATGCCAACACAATATTGAAAACAACACGAGAACTCTAAACTTAGCAAGGTTGTTTTCGTTGACAGGGTGTGTTGACAGGGTATGTGTCTCATTTTATGCATGCACATCCGTTATGCGAATCCACATTCGGTTAAAATGTCACAATATAGAATCGGATGCTAATGGTAAATGTACAGATCAGACGGCTTTCCTGGTAGGTAAAGATCAAAGACTTAAAACATGTATCGTGTGAGTTGAGACAAAGGCACTAAGTATCAACAATAATTCGTGATGTTGACCATAAAACATGTCATACAACCTAGTAGAAATCGTCCATCTATGGCATGACAAAAAAAAACATATGAAGCAGAAGTTAATAAATAAATGATCTGGAGTAAACTTTTAGAATTTTCTCTCTGAATTACGATAACGTTTACGTCACTTTTTTCAGCCTAATTTTGATTTAAGAATTATACTCTACTGTCTGTTTACTCCTACCATCTTTTACATGTATAAATAACTGATAACATTGGTCTTAAAACCGATTTATACCAGTATGGTATCTGTTTTAACGAATTTTAAATTCTTAAAAAGAAGTAATTTCTAAAATGGACATAATTTTTAATTCTGTAGAATATCAAATTCTAAGGAATGTGCAAAGATTGATTTTTTTTAAACGAAAACAAATCTTGAATTATAAAGTTTCTATTTGTTTACAGGAGATGCACGACATTGGTTGTGCTTTAAAGGGACTATTTTTGCAAATTTTAGTATGATGATTTCTTGGGGTGGACTTTTAGATCTGGACCTTTATTAAATGAGGGAAGAACTTTGCAATGTCTTTACCACAAACATACATTGAGTTGTATGATTTTTGCCAACAAATGCTTTCTAAATAAAGTGGTTTCTTTAAGCAAAGATATTGAAGGGTTCGGTTATTTGGAAATAAATGGGGTGCTTCCATTATATAATGGACTATTTCTCAATTTCACTGTCAAAAGAAACTGAATACGTGTTTGCTCTATATAAAACACTTTTGTGACTAAGCTTAAATGCAATAAAACGAAGGAAAGGAGAAAGGTACATTAAACCATCAAAGGAGTTGTTTTATTCATATGGCTTTAAGTCATTAGTTGTAGACGTTTTCTTTGAGAAACCATTGATTTTGGGAAAATAAAAGCTTTCTTTGCTTCAATCTACAAAGGAAGCCTTGAAAAACAATTTTCGTACAGTTTTGTTTGTCACATTGTTATAATATTAAATGAAGTATAGGTTTCAATTTCGTAATTGAGTCGACAACATAGAATCTAAGTTTAAACCGACCAAGTTGTTAGGAAAACGACTAAACAGGAACAAATCATATCTGAAACACAATAACACAGAGTTAAGAGCAATTAGGAAAGATGTAAACATTTACGGGCGGCGAAACTTGCATAATTTTCATTTAATTTGCAATGTTGCTGCTAACATACGTAATTTTACATCTTTTATTAGTGAACCATATCCTTGTGACCTTATTGTGTAATTTTTGGTATATTAATGTATAAAAATAAGCAGATGTGGTTAATAAACTCATCATAGATACCAGGATTGAAATTTTGTATTTGCTGCAGACGCACGTTTCGTATACTAAAGACTCATCAGTGACGCTCGAATCAAAAAAGGTTAAAAAGGCCAAATAAAGTACGAAGTTGAAGAGCATTGAGGACCAAAAATTCCTTAATGTTTTGCCAAATACAGCTAAGGTAATCTATTCCTGAGGTAGAAAAGCCTTAGTATTTCAAAAATTCAAAGTTTTAAAAACAGTTAATTTATAATTATGACCATATCATTGATAATTCATGTCAACACAGAAGTGCTGACTACTGGGCTGTTAATACCCTCGGGGAATAAAAACTCCACCAGCAGTGGCATCGACCCAGTGGTTGTACATAAACTCATCATAGATACCAGGATTGAAATTTTGTACTTGCGCCAGACGCGCGTTTCGTCTAGTTAAGACTCATCAGTGACGCTCGAATCATAAAAGGTTAAAAAGGCCAAATAAAGTTCGAAGTTGAAGAGCATTGAGGCCCAAAAAGTCCTACAAGTTTTGCCAAATACAGCTAAGGTAATCTATTCCTGAGGTAGAAAAGCCTTAGTATTTCAAAAATTCAAAGTTTTAAAAACAGTTAATTTATAACTATGACCATATCAATGATAACTCATGTCAACACAGAAGTGCTGATTACTGGGCTGGTGATACCATCGGGGAATAAAATCTCCACCAGCAGTGGCATCGACCCATTGGTTGTAAATAAACTCATCATAGATACCAGGAATGAAATTTTGTATTTGCGCCAGACGCGTATGATTGCCAATGAGACAACTATAGGCAACCGTACGGCCTTCGCGGTAGTTAAACATTACCAGGTTTTTGTATTTTGTGAAAGAATCTGCATTTAATTTTAAAACAATAACACATAGACAGAATCTAGTAGATAAGACATTTACGGACTAATAAACTTACGATAATAACTATCACGTTTCAATAGTCCACATCATCCTTACCAAGACGAATCCTTTGTTGTTTTTTTTTAATTATTTTTCTCACTTTTTTTCTTTTTTTATCTTCATTTTTAGAAAACCATGAACAATATTCTTGTGTGCAATTGAAAGATGTTGGTCTAATGTCTATTTTAGTTAAAACTAGAAAGGCAGCGATGTCATTTTTACATGTAAATGTGAAATTTAAAAGAATTGTGCTTGAAACTGCTGTATACTAACATGCATCGATATCACAAACTTGTCAAAACATTTATTAAATTTTATCATCGGTACAAAGACATTATTCGTAAATATAAATCAACGTGCAGACATCTTATACGTTCAGGTATTTCACATCCCATCTTTTACTGTAGTATTCTATACAAAGCACAAAAATGTCGTCATTCACCACAAAAGCTAACCAAACCTTTAAACGGACTTATTCGGAAGGGATATAGTTACGATACAGTTGTCAGGTCATTAAAGATGGCATTTTTTTTTTAATTAATATCAATTCACTCATAGGGTCTTTGCATCGAAAATAAACACATTTATTATAAAATCCGTTGTTGGCATGATACGGGTTATGTTCTTATGTCGTATATTTTACGATGGTATGATACTAAACCCCTAACGGGAGAGATTGTACTTGATTTCATATGATGAAGACATAATCTTTCAATCAGTTTAATTGAGGTCTGGAGCTGGCATACCAGTATCTGCTAGTAGTCCTTTGTTACTTTATGTTGATTATTGTCATTTTGCTTAGTTTCTTCTGTTAGCTATTCTAACATCGGCCTCGGACTTCTTTTAAACTGAATTTTACCATGCGTATTGCTTTGTTTTTATTTATTCCACATTGGCTAGAGGTATAGGGGGAGGGTTGAGATATCACAAAAAATGTAAGATATAGGTCGAGAATCATGTCAGATGGTCAACCTGTTTACATTGAAGTAGCTCTGAAAATTATATGACGGAATATCAATTAAGGTCCGACTTTTGACTACGTGGTGACTTCAATATGTCAAATTATTCTGTTTGCATGACATATACAGTGGGGTATTAAACTGGTTCGTCGTCTGGGTGATCGTCAGAAATTATCGCGTTTTCTTATAATCATAGGATAAACTAGTATCACTACTATAGAACTAAAAATAGTTATATACGACAACTTAAGTATTATAAAAGCCATTCATTCAATTTTTAATTTCCTATATGGCAATTTCGGATTATGTCGCTTCACCTTTTTCCTGGATAAAACCTACCAATTTACTATTTTCATATTACCGACTTTTGACTCCGGATTATATAATTTTTCGACAGGTTGTCTAATCTGAGGTAGGACATCCTGATACAAGATCAAGTAAGAGCAACCAAAAGAAGTGAAATCAAACATATAATCGGTGCAATTTAGGGGGAAATTTACTGTTTTCCTAATATTTTGTTGTGTATAGAAAATATAAAACAGTTAATTTCCCCCAAAAATTGCACCGATTGAAAGCATGATTTTACTTATTTACGTTGCTCTCACTTGGCCGAGTACCAGGATGTCCTACTAAAGAGTAGGCTAACTGTCGAAAAAATAGAACGTCCGGAGTCAAAAGTCGGTAATATGAAAATAGTTTATTGTTAAAATCTTTCCGGATTCTCTCCTACAATACTGATTTAAAAATACAGCTCATCATTTCTTTCAAATTTTATCTTTCTTAATATAAATTGTAACTTGATTGGTGTTATGTAATTTATTCGTGTAAATATTGTTTTTATACGACCGCAAAATTTTGCGGTCGTATACTGTCATGACGTTGTCAGCGTCGTCGTCGTCGTCCGAAGACATTTGGTTTCCAGACAATAACTTGAGTATAGTGTATGGATCTCTATAAAATTGTGCAACAAGGTGCCATACCACACAAGATAGGTTGGGATTGTTTACAGAGGTTATTGTCCTAACTGTTCAGGAATTAGGGGCCAAAAAGGGGCCAAAAACAAGCATTTTTCTTGTTTCAGGATAATAACTTGTGTATAAGTGTATGGATCTCTATGAAATTGTACTACAAGGTTCTGTACCTCAAAAGGAAGGTTGGGATTGATTTTGGGGGTTATGGCCCAAACCGTTTAGGAAAACGGGCCAAAAACAATACGTTTCTAAAACTATGTATAAATTGCTTATTTCTCAACCAATTTCAATGGGGTTCAATTCAGAGTCTTGAATTCTTAGGGTTCCTTGATATGCTGAATCAAACCGTGTAATTTAGATTTTGGATTTTGGATCCGGTTATCAAATTGGTCTACATTAAGGTCGAAGGGTCTAAAATTAAACTTAGTTTGAATTTAACGAAAATTCAAATCGATGGTTTTTTGATATGCTGAATCTAAACATTTACTTAGATTTTTTATTTCGGGCCCAGTTTTCAAGTTGGTTCGAATCGGGGTCCAAAATTAAACTTTGTTTGATTTCAACAAAAAATGAACTAACGGGGTTCTTTATTTGATATGCTTAATCTAACTAATTATTATATTTTGGGCCTCGTTATCAAATTGGTCCATATTGAGGTTCAAGGGGTCCAAAATTAAACTCTGTTTGATTTCAAAAAAAATAATTGAATTCTGAGGGTTCTTTGATATGCTGAATCTAACCATGTATTTAGATTTTGGATATTGGACCATAATAGGTAAATGTCCAATTTCAATTTGTTGATTTCTTAAACAACATTCATTCTGTGTCAGAAACATATGCTATGTCAAATATTTAATCAAAATCTAAATTCAGAAGTGTATTGCACAATTAATAGAAATTGTTAGTAGATTCATAGATAAAAAAAATATAGCAAGATGCATAAAATTCGAATTTCAGAAATTATGTATGAATATAGTTTGACATTGACTGTTCATTTTTAGACATTTTTAAAAGTAATTAAATGATATTTGTATAGATTTTTTAAAGACATGATATTAACGACGAATGATATTTTGGAAATTGTTTTTTTTTTGTTTTTTTTTTTTCTAATTTTGTTTTTTTTTTAGAACTTCGTGGTAGGTTTGTTTGTTTTTCTGTATAAACAGGATGCTATGTGTATCAAAAACATTTTGATGAAAGCTAGCATTGTCCAAAATAAATAGATGAATTCATTTTTGGTGTACTTGGATATGTTCAATCTAACTGTGTATTTAGATTTTGGATATTGGGCAATAATAGGTAAAAGTCCAATTTAAAATGTTTCAGTTCTTTAACCACATTCATTCTGTGTCAAAATCATATGATGTTTCAAATATTTAATCACAATCCAAATTCAGAGCTGTATCAAGCTTGAATGTAGTGTCCATACTGGCCAAACTCTTCAGGGTTCAACCTCTGCGGTCTTATCAAGCTGCACCCTGCGGAGCATTTTGTTATTCTTGTAGCCTGTTGAAATATCTTTTATGATTTCGAAAAGGAAAATAGTCAATATATTTTTCACGCAAATAGTCGGTTTAATTACTTCTTATGTTTGAACAATTCATCATGAAACCTTTTTTAATTGATGTCCCAGTCATTGACCTTGACATTTTCATTTCAATGACGCAGTAAAGACCTTTAGATTTAAAATACACCGTGAACTATCAGTAATCTATATTAACAGTGCAATTACATTGATTCTATGGTTATGTTCAAACTAATCTGATTTTATAGTTTAATAAAACGTGGTTTTTACCAGTTGCACGAGTATGTGATAACTGATAAAAGATATATCACAAAAACACTTAGAATTATTTTACTTCTGGTATCGATCCCATGACTTCCATTAACTAAGCGTAAAAGCTACCTCAGAGCAACGATATTTCAGGATTTTTTTTATTGTAAACCTATGTTCAACAAAGGTGATGCCATGTGTATCTATCCAAAACAGTAGTCTGTTGGGTGTATTTGTCTTCCTCTGATAGCTTTAGCGCTATAAAACCAGGTTCAATCCACCATTTTCTACATTTGAAAATGCCTGTACCAAGTCAGGAATATGACAGTTGTTGTCCATTCGTTTGATGTGTTTTGTCATTTGATTTTGCCATGTGATTAGGGACTTTCCGATTGAATTTTCCTCGGAGTTCAGTATTTTTGTGATTTTACTTTTTTCTGATATTTGTTGATATTTGTTGCTATTCCATTTTGTTAGTAATATCGTTGACTTTTTAATTCCAATGTATGAGATCTTTTTACTATTTCTATTTTTTGTCGGTTTCTTGTTGTTCTGAATCTGCCATTTTCTGCGGAACTGTTTGTGGTTTATTTTTTGTTACTTTAGTTATGTAGTTTACTTTATACCACGTGTATTTGTTATGTTGAAGTCAGTCTGTCTTTGAATAACATTAACGGTACTAATTTTACTGCAACAGATGACTTATGATTTTATTTCCCCTCGGTATTTGATACTTTTTTCTGTCTGAAATGTTATTTGCGTTTTGAGAACATGCCCTATCACTTTGGTTAATAAGTGTATCACTTACATGCACGAATACCACAACTTCTTGTTTAATACAAGTATTTTTCTGGTTTTTTTTTTTTGGTTTTTTTTTTATTTAGGATATTTGTTTATCTTTTTGTGTCGATTTTTTTTTTTTAATTTGAATTTCTTCTCTCCTTTCAAAAATTTATCTCTTTATATTCCTGATAATTTTACAGAATTTTGGTGATGTTTCTCCAAGCACGTTATCCCCAGAAATTTCTCCATGTAATTCTTGTGATGAAGGCGATAATGCTAGGTAAGTTTGACATTAAGGTATAAAGATTAGATATTAGGATCACCAATCAAGTTACTACAGTAATGTAATTACAGCTTAAGCAATCGTAAATTTGTCAAGAGACCAAGATCGTGTATATTGACAATGAGCTATTCCTAAGGAAAACGAAAACATCATTCACATTAAATCTGATAAACAATGTATTGAAATGGCTATAAAGCTGCCGATCCAAGTTGAACACGTTTCATACACCTACGCTTCAGCTATTAAATAAATCAAACTAGCTGTATAGAACTTTATCGTAGTCTTTTGGGAATCATTTCAACTTATCGTATTTCACAACAATATGTCACCAAAATATTGAAACAAATCACGTTTCAAGGCAAACTACAATTCAAACATGTTTACGAACTACAAATAAATTATTTTTAGGAACAATAAACACATTTCAGTTGAAAAGGGTATAATAGGACAAAATTAGTTTTGAAATTAATTTGAATCGTCAGAGTTATATATACTATTAGAGGCAGCAATTTAATCCGGGTGAAACTAATTCTGTAAAACTCATAAAAGGAAACTCTTTCCACTCATTCTGGTCAATTTTTAATATTAAAATATGAATGACTTAATGTATAAAGCAGGGTTCAAACCAAACTTCTAACTCATTCTACGAGATAGGGCAAAATATTGTTCACATCAGCACCGTCGACTTGTCCGTGGAAAACAGATCATACTAGCTAAGTTCGTCAGTCTAAGACATAGCAGGTCTTGCATCAGCTTATTCTGATGGTGCAGGACAAGGAAGGGATTGTATAAACTCAGCATGTTCATTAAAGAAAAGGTATGAACTAACCTCCTTTCGAACGACAAACAAAACGCCATTAATTTGATTTAAGGCTATGATATAACAGTTTAAACACAAGAATAGTGTGCTGGTCTAGGGTAGAGAACGCTTAACATCAGAATAACCGATTTACAACCCACCGTGGTTGTTATGGTCAAATTATACAAGACGTCAGTAAAAATGTTGTTTCAAGAATAAACCATGGTTCACCTATTATCAGCATGTTTTTCGTTTACAAGACAAAACATAATGATTCTATTTTCAAGAACTCCCACCATCATTTACCATGCTTGTATTATTTAATGTCAGCGAAAAGCAATTATGAAATGAAAGGGAATATTTTTTCGATAATCGCCTATGTTTTAATAATTGGTTTCGTAAAGATAAAAAGTATGGTAAATAAAGCAGAGACATCTTAATCATCATAGGAAATGTTGCTGCATAAATTTCAAAGTAATGATAACTGTTATCCTGCTAAATCCAGAAATATCAAAAATAGAACCATTTAAAATTGTCAATTTCTTCGTCTGAGAATTGATTTTTCTTGAAGTAAATAAAATCTTCATCAATCAGTTTGACTTCATTCGCCTTTGATAATCACACATTACCTTAATGTGTTACAGCAATCTTGCAGAACGCCTTAGACGTAGACGCAGCTCTGTCGAAATGAACATGTCTGTATACCCAGGCGATCTGCTCGTTCAAGACGATCCACACAAGAAATTACTGAAAAGAAATACTATATCGGATTTTTATCCCACTAAAAATGGCACAACGACTTTGACAGACGGTAAGTAATTAAGATTTTATCTTGGTTTCTGGATCGTTATTGACTAAACAATGACAAATGCTTTACATTAACGAATCGTTTAGGAAAAGTAACACAAATCAGATTTCAAACTCAAAAATTGGCTTGATCATATTCACGATTTCTTTAGTTCTACCGCACACATACAACTGTATTAATCCAGTAAATTAATCTTTAAATCTTACATTACAGAATGTCCATGTATTAATTAAAGTTATTTGAAACCAGTTTCTTGAAATGATAATATTATAGAAATTATTGAACCATTCCATGTATTTATACTAAACTAGGTCCTCTGTGCACGATTATTTACAATTATTATGAATCCATAACATATAATCGACAAAACATATTTCATTCAGCGAAAGTTTTCCGTGCTAATTAACTTTTATTTTTTATTGCCGAAGTTTATCGAACTTGACTTTAATAAACAATCAACACAGAATCGTGGAGCACGTGCAAAATAAGTGAGATGATAGACATGCAATAGCAATTTTGTTTTATATATATTTCCATTCGTTTCAATTTATTTTTCAATTAAACTTTGACATAACAGTTAAATGATTTGGTATATAAAACTGTTCTTTCAGAATCCATTAACACTATTTACATTCCAGTGTACGTTTGTTTACATTCTTTTAATCACGATTTTCCCTCGCATTTGCGCAGTGCAGTTTATGGCGTTATATGGAGATGCCCGTGGTTAAGGTCACTGCATACGGAAAGCTATCGGCAAATAAGGGTACTGGACGACAATATTTCAATAGCAGCACATTTCTGAATAAAGATACATGACTTTCTTTTAAAATAAAGTTCATGTACACGTGTTTAATAGTAAAACTTAGATTGGAGTTTACAAAACACATTCAATTGTTTTTAATTGAAATAGCAGCTGACATTATTTGACATTTATATACATTAGTACGACTAATCATAGAAACATCTTACCCTTCCGGAGAACTATTTTTAACTTAACCGTTGCATTTAATTTGGTCAAGCTCGACGTCGCTTATTATATTTGTGTATATAGAAAAAGTTAGATGGCTTCTTCTGTATCCTACATCTCTCAACCAAAGACACCAATGTAATATTGGTTTAGGATTGATACAGTATGTGATATTGGAAAAAGACATATCATAGACACTTTACATGCTTTCCATATTATACGTCTGTATAACGTAACTACGATTTTGAGGATTGATAAAAACCGTACAAACGTTACTGATATCGATTGCATCACTGCTTGCTGATATAGAACGATGGACATGTATTTATCAATTATGGACTTTTGACGAGGTCAATACGTTATATATGGACCTGTTCAGATTATATTGACCGAGGACGAAGTCCGAGTGTCAATATAATCTAACAGGTCCATATATAACGTATTGACTGAGTAAAAGTCCTTAATTTATATATTACATATGTAAATAATGTATTAGGAAAGTGGCGTTCAATGTTCTTTCTGTGTATTTTTAAATTGTATTTTGCAAGAATTATTGAAAATATCAATATTCTTTGAACAACTTCATAGCTTGTTGCGTTAGCTTTCTTGTATTCTTAGCGTCAGCATTTAAAATAAAAGCCTTGATATCTCCTTCTGATAAACTTGCAAATTTTCTTTTCGTCTGTTGCGACGCTTCCTCCATGGTTGTCATTTGTGACGTCATGACGTTATAAATCTAAATTTAGCAAGATTTTTTATATTGACGGTCAATATACATATAAATAGAAACATAGCGTCAATATACTTAAAAATAGAATTAAGGCTTCGGATACATAAAATAACCTTTGAAACACGTGATCGTAATATCCAATGAAAGCAGGAGAATACTACATCATATGTTTTATTGTATTATACACAACATTTAATTGCTTTTACTATTAATTATATTATTATATGATTATATGACTATAGCTTGTGTCCTTTAGCATTGATTTCATTCGTTCATCTTCAACAAATGATGATACATGTTTTAGCTCCTTGATATCTTCTTTTTTCTGCTAATGTGTTACAATATTCCTGATTTTAATTATGAATAAAAAAACAGATTACAGCTGTCAAATTGAAAGATTTACCTCTCCCTTAATATGTGCACCACTGCTTTGAAAAGAAGGGTTTGTCTAATGTATTTTAAACAGCCTCGGTGGCTTCTTGGTAGCGTGCTCGCCTCGAGTGATGTATGTGTTGGTCCTATCCCCGGCCAGGTCAAACCATAGACTTGAAAATTGGTATTTGCTGCATTTTCCCTAAACACTTGGAACTTAGGAATAAGAGCAAAGACTGGTCGGCCTGGAATAATATGTCGAAGTAGGGCGACATTTCTTCGAGCGGACTGTTACCTTTTGAACTAGAACGTTCAATTTCCGACCAACGTGTCAGTAAGTACAAAGCAGGTTCGATATTAATATCACATTTACCTTTTCTCGTCATAAATATGCATCCAAATTGCCACTTGACGGTTTACAGCCATCTATCATAATTATTTTTTGTATGGTGGACCGATATCGCCCTATCTGTTGGACATTTGTGCACACTTTTAATGACGATTCTTTTGTTTCAACTTTACATTTAGTTTATGTAACGTTTATTTACAAGGTCTAGCATGAGTTTTTATTATATTTAGATTCCAAGAAAAGACAGTCATTTTCCTTATTGAAGTTGGTAAGCTTTCGTTTATAGTATTCATAAGTTTTTGTATAATAATTAGTAATTGTCCTACTAATCATGTGCGGTATTTACTATATACAATGACACAATGATAATTCATTGGCGTATCCAATTCCAAATGTCTACTATAAGAAAATTGGTTTAAATGTGTATGATAAATTCCTTAAGACTAATAACATTGAATAAAAAATGAATGAATAAAGTAAAAAAGGCATGCTTCACTTTTTGTAATCTCCAGGCTTATCCTATATAACGATAAGAGCATGTGGTATGATTGCCAATAAAACAACTCTCCACCAGAGACAAAAAGACGTAGAAGTAAGCAGTGATTGGTAACCGTACGGCCTTCAATAATGAGCTTAACCCATACTGCATACAATGTAGAAAGCTATAAAAGTCTAGCAATGGACCAATGTAAAACAATTCAAACGAGAAAACTGACGGACTGGTTTATGTATAAAACAACGCTAGCCTATCATTTGACTGGCTGTAATCAAGATGGCCTCTATTTGAATTTCCAAATTAATAAAAGGGCATAATTTTACAGATGAAAACAAGAAGTAAGGAATCGTTGCCACGACTTGAAGATATTCTAAGCCAAATCACGCCGTCAGAATTCAAAGACAATCATTTAACGGCATACAAGGTAGGTTGATATAGTAAATGTTGATATTGTTTCTTTTTCTTATCTCACCAAACGAGACATACCACCGAAAGTGTACTTCCCTTGAGCAACGCGACAGGTGCTCGATGTGTTTATTGGTTAGTTTTTTGGTGCCGTTCGTATTGTTTATCCTTGGTTTTATTGGTTATTAGTAGTTTTTTGGTGCAGTTCGTATTGTTTATATACTAGAGTGTATTGTTAACTGTTTTGGTGCAGTTCGTATTGTTTATCCTTGAGTTTATTGGTTAGTCTTTTGGTGCCGTTCGTATTGTTTATCCTTGGTTTTATTGGTTATTAGTAGTTTTTTGGTACAGTTCGTATTGTTTATATACTAGAGTGTATTGTTAAGTGTTTTGGTACAGTTCGTATTGTTTATCCTTGAGTTTATTGGTTAGTCTTTTGGTGCAGTTCGTATTGTTTATCCTAGCGTTTATTGTTAAGTGTTTTGGTACAGTTCGTATTGTTTATCCTTGAGTTTATTGGTTATTTTTTCGTGCAGTTCGTATTGTTTATCCTTGAGTTTATTGTTAAGTGTTTTGGCACAGTTCGTATTGTTTATCCTTGAGTTTATTGGTTAGTTTTTTGGTGCAATTCGTATTGTTTATCCTAGAGTTTATTGTTAGGTGTTTTGGTGCAGTTCGTATTGTTTATCCTTGAGGTTATTGTTTAGTTTTTTGGTGCAGATCGTATTGTTTATCCACGACTTTATTGTTGAGTGTTTTGATGCAGTTCGTATTGTTTATCCTTGAGTTTATTTTTTAGCTTTTTGGTGCAATTCGTATTGTTTATCCACGACTTTATTGTTTAGTGTTTTGTAGACTAGTTTTCTTTTTGTTGTTTTACGAAGGTTTTTTTTTGTCATTTGTCGTTCTCTCTTGGAATTATGAGTTTTGATTGGCCCTTTTATATCTTCTGTCTCTTTCTTTATATGAACATTCATTGTTATATTCTGTTATCTCATAATCTTAGGGGTCTCACTGGTCATACTAGAATGTAGAAGCCTTTGAATTTACAGGTTGTTTAAATCAAAGTTAGACATTATAGTCACTGTCAAATGTTAACAATTTGTATCCGGTATTGATTTTAGTTTTCGATGCTCGTGGTTGGTTTATCTTTTCAGCTGTTTTGATTCGAGCACCACTGGTGAGTCTTGTGTAGACTAAATGCTATCCTGACATACTATATTATAAGTCTGGTCTCTTCGATGAGTTTAGAATTACACGTATTCTGTAAATCGAATTGTACATGTACCTAACAATACACTTGTTGTATCCCTTTTTTTAAGACATGGTTATTTCAAAGATATCGAATTTCAAAGTAGTCTAAGAAAGATATCAATCATTTTGTTTTAGTATAATACTGCTAAGAATGTTTTATATCATGTAACAGTTTGATGAATTAAATTCTTATTTATTTGCTTTTTATTGTTGTGTTATTTTTTCATAAGGCAGTCACCCCAATCATCTTACACATAAGCTAACTATTGTATGTTCTTGCACTTGATTTAATCTTATTATAGACGCTGCATTGGTCAGATTTAGTGGCCAGCTCTGACAAACAACAGGATGAAATTACGATACCAGACAAAGAGAGAAAACGACGTGAGGCAGTATGGGAATTATTCAAAAGTGAATGTGTTTTCTTAATAGACCATCTGATGGTGCTGAAGCATGTAAGTGTTGTTTTTTTTACTGAAATATGTTAAAACTCAAGTATTACAGCTTAAATTAACTGTGGAGAATTTGTTTTTATCGGAAAAATATGTATTGTTATTTACCAATAATTGCTGCATATTTATAAACAAATTGTTCTGTGTATTGGTATTTACCTTTAACAACTATATTATCTTTGTATTATGTCGGTATGTTTATGATAATTTATTATATAAGTTTCGAGGCATACGGTTTTTCATCCATAATTAGAGAATTAACACAACCAGCTGCATAACTGGTATAGTGCGTAACTATATTTCATACGGTAGTCACTTCCAGCAAGGTAGACGAATCCAGTATACAACTTGTCATTAGAAGATGCAGACGTTCATTGAGATTTCAATGGAACAAAACAATGTCTGAAAAAATAGCCAAACAAATGTATAAAAGGTGGGCACCTGTAATAAAAAAAAACATAGACTAGTATAAATATTGTCTGGAACTGGCATGTCAGTTAACTGCTAGTAGTCTGTTGTTATTTATGTATCATTGTCATTTTGTTTATTTTCTTTGGTTACATCTTCTGACATCAGACTCGGACTTCTCTTGAACTGAATTTTAATGTGCGTATTGTTATGCGTTTACTTTTCTACATTGGCTAGAGGTATAGGGGGAGAGTTGAGACCTCATAAACATGTTTAACCCCGCCGCATTTTCGCGCCTGTCCCTAGTCAGGAGCCTCTAGCCTTTGTTAGTCTTGTATTATTTTTAATTTTAGTTTCTTGTGTACAATTTGGAGTTTAGTATGGCGTTCATTATCACTGAACTAGTATATATATTTGTTTAGGGGCCAGCTGAAGGACGCCTCCGGGTGCGGGAATTTCTCGCTGCATTGAAGACCTGTTGGTGACCTTCTGCTGTTGTCTGTTCTATGGTCGGGTTGTTGTCTCTTTGACACATTCCCCATTTCCATTCTCAATTTTATATGGCATGAATGAATTGAGATGTTATAATTGATATAGTAAAAGGGTTAACTTACGATGTTTTTATTTCGACTGTTCAAAGAAGAGCAGGTCAAAACAATGAATTCAAGATCATATGTAATACTCGATATAGTTTAAATTTTCTACTTTCTAATAGAATGAAATAACATATGTAAACCATGCTTTTCCTACAACATGTCCACCGAATAACGACCAATGCAGCAATTTATACTTCTACTACAATTCTATTAATGGAGCTGTTTATTTGTTTGTAGTGCTTCATGGAACCGTTGAAAAAGGTTCAGGTAGAGGGACATTTAATGTTTGCTGAACCCCATGATATTTTTGGCAATTTAGATGAACTTTGCTATGTAAGTATATTCTATGTCAATTTTAATTTTACCATTACAAACTTCAAGTATTTAATACCTTAACAACTATGTATACTGGACCTACATAAGACAAATAGTTACTTTCCAAGGCCACAAATAGTTGATGATAAAAAATCCCTTTTCAGTAATATATGGATCAAAATAAATGTTAGAAACCGTCCAATAGTCTTCAATAAGGCAGATACCCAACAACACAAAACACCACAGGACAAGAAGATCTACTTGTGGTCTTCAAGTATAGACTAGTTCTTAATTTCCCAGTCCAGTTACAGAATATTATCATAATGCAAAATCATTGACTTTTCCGTTTTCGGGGATACAACCAGTAAAAAGTACCACAATACTGAATGATAATTTACATAAAATGATACATGTAACAGGAATCACTAGAAATGTTGGACAGCACATAGATCGCACCAACCATCAATACATTGTAAAACTTATACTTTCTTTTAATCACGTGGAACGCATGTTAATTTTATTCATTTCATTGATATGCTGTATTTTAAGATAATAAGCACGAAATAAAAACAGTGTTTCGCCTGTAAATATAATAAATGGCACTAGCTTTAAATCGTGTACTACATTTGTTATATCATTGATCATTGGTCGGCTTAACATTTTAATAATACATTGTCTTTCAAAATTAATGTAGAGAGCAGTCATATGCACTTGAGTATAACAATTCTTAACATTTTTAGGTAAGCTATACTTTTTGTAAAGACTTTATATCTGCTTTGGTGAAGGATATGAGTTCTACAGATTTTGGCAGTACAAATGTGCTTGTACGAGCTTTTGAACGGGTATGTACAATTTTCCATCAACGCAACATGCTTTATGAACAAAGATATATATACCTTTGAAAATCTTCAGATTCTTGTAATCTCAGATTCATCTTGATGATATGTCTACATTTGTTAGTACATCAATGGTGTACATTGCAATCCTGTATATTGAAAAGGCCACTAAAAGATTGTAAAAACAGAAAATGTTTGCATGTGAGACATGGGAAATATTAGGCAAGATTTTGAAAGTAAACAAATAGTTTTTGAGCAGTTACACTGATACATGTTCACGATGCTGACTTTGATTTTGGTGGTCTCATGAATTCAGATAACCGTGACAATAAACGGACACAATTTTAATGTCACTCAGACGTGGCAACTATTAGCATGTAACCTTATCAAGTATATTTTCAATATAGTACAAAATATTTTATTACAAAATAAACAATTTAACATGGCCTCTTTATATAAGCTAAAATAAAGAGTATATTAGCATTATTGCATATCAAGAGTTTATATTAATGAATATCTGCATTGAATTTTCAAATGTAAGAAATACAAGCATTTTAAACCGTTTGTTGTCCAAACACGTATAACACCTCATTTATTTATTCTTTGTTAATTTCAATGCTCTTTAAAATTTTCTTTGGGCAACATTTCTTCCTGACTCCTTGATGTATATGTTAAAAGCCTGTCTTGACTACACAATGTGCTTTCCAATTTTACATTGGCTTCAGAATTTGAAATATCTATGTATATATTTATTTTGAAACATGGTTGCATAATTGTTTTGTTTAAGATAGTATGGAAGCATACACGAAGTGTGTGATACAAAATGTAGGTTTCGGTATCTGTATAGATTGAGGAATAGAACAGCCGTCGTTCAAATGACTTTAGTCATCAATTAAAACATTATATATTTAAAATGTAGTGTATCGTGTATATATATAGATTAAATTGAATTTATCATGATTTTTTATTCGAAATAAAGTCTGATATTAAAGTATCTGAATATATTTCATTTTCCCCAATTAAAATGTTTGAAATACATTTTCAGTTCACAACACATTCCAGAGATGGTGGAGTATATCACACCTACTGTTTAAATTATGTTAATGCATTAGGGTACCTTGACCAGTTACGTCGCCATGATGACTTTGCTGATTTTGAAAAGGTATTCTTATTTAATCTATTGGTCAATTGCAATTTACACAACTGTTTTTTAAATACCTACTACTGCATTGTACTACTACAACTATTTATAGTATATATAATGATAATAATAAAAATATCATTAGAAAAACTTCCATCTTTGACCTTGACTTTTAGTAAGGATCCTTTGATAACAGTTGACATGACTTTTTTATTGTATACCGATCATCTCAGAATTTAGTTCACGACAAATTAAATGTTCAGCAGCTTGGTAGCACTGATTAGTTGTAACGTTTGAGTTTTTTCTTCAAATCTGACAGACACCTTACTTAGCTTCTTCCTGTTTTCCGATACTTTGTGGTGTTTTTTCAATATCGTTACTGAACTTTAAATTTTTTGTCACATATTTTTCTAGTACTGCTATACTCAATGACTTAACATTTGGTCAGTAGATTGACAGTAGTGAGTTGTAACGAATGATCTCATTTCAGATCTGTCAGACTCATACTTCCTGTTTTCTAACCCAGAATTTTTCAATATTATAAAAGATCTTAGAAATTTTTGTCACGCTTTTTTCCAGTACTACTGACAAGAATGATTTGGTCAGCAGCTTGACAGTGATGAATTGTAAAATGTTAGCGTTGTGTGGAACTGTCGGTCTTATTGTTATTGATACTTTGATAAACAAATGCTGGAGGTATGTCCAGCACGGCAACGCGTGCCTTATTGTTGGAATTTTATTTCAAGGCGTCATACTGGCACCAACTATCTCATTTGAACGCCATTAATTTTTGCAAATAAGTATGCTAGTCAGTATACCTCGAAAAAAAAATGAAATCAAAATTTGATACATTTCATGCGACCGAAGCGCTTTTCTGGATTTACCTTCATCGGTAATCATTCAAATATTAATTATGAATGTTATTTTTGTCTACATGTTTTAGTGGTGCACCTCTGACCAAAGATGTAACCGATTACAGTTAAATGATTTACTGGTAGCGCCCATGCAGCACTGTACAAAATTTCCTATGTTACTTTTAAATATTAGAAAATATACGCAAAACTCTACAGAACAAGAGCTGCTGTCAGAACTTAGAGAAAAAGTAGAATTTTCACTGAGTAAGTATATAGGTAGAATGCATACTTTGATATCAATAAGGGATCAGAAAAAACAAAAACGTATGATAACTATATTATTTTTCAAGACTTTTTTTAATTATATCAAGATGAAATTAATGAACCACTTCAAATGTTGGTAATAAAAAAGTGAAACTTATGAGAAAAACTTGCTATTTCCTTGCAGACATTTACCAGAAAAACTTTGCTACCTATTGTGTACATTAAATTTGCATTTCAAACGTCCAATTTAAAGATAAAAAGGAAAAATGGCTAATTCGTATTGCTAATGTGCAATATATTATATACGATATTAGAATTGACAAATTTGTTTTGATAATTATTTTATTGCATGTTATTTTGAATGACAATAAAGTGTTACTTTTTACTTAGTATTGATACGTATTGAAACTCTTCTATGGATAAAACTTTTAATATATATGCAAACTGCTTTTTTTGAGATTAAAAAAAATTTAATCCTTATAAGCACAAGCATTGTCTTATATAACAGTTATGTTTCTGCTGTTCGTTTTGTCTATCAGACATTTTAGCTGTTCTGTTTGTCTTATAGTCACAATGGCTCTTCTTTATGTCTATCAGTCATTTCGGCTGTTCTGTTTGTTTTCATGTCTGTTCTACCTGTATTATGTCAGTTTGTATATATTGTGAATAATTTTTTTTAAATAAAATAAAAATATTGAAACAATATTTAATTATATGATTTCAGAAAAGATGGAAGATAAATTAAAGTGGGTAAAAAATTATGAACGTTTACAAGATATACAGAATCAGTTAGTATGGCCATCAATCTCAGATATTGACCCGAGAGCGCTTATTCCAGATGTAAGTTTCGCAAGTAAAATCATTATTAATTTTTTTTATAGAAGTAATATTTTAAACATTTACTGCTAAACTGATAGATGGTAACGTAATCTCAGTCATTTAAGAAATAATTCATGGGGGCTTGAATATATCATGATTTTACCACGGGTTGGCCCTTTATGACAAATATTTTACCCTGAGCGATAGCGATGGGTAAAATATCGGCATAAAGGGACAACCCGTGGTAAAATCACGATATATTCAAGCCCCCATGAATTATTTCGATTCTAATAGGACAAATACGGCAATTCTTTTGGATCGAAACGCTCTAGGTGAAGGCATTATTTGCCGTTCCCATAAATAAACGCACTATTAAATTGACGTAAAAGAACGGAGCAAACTGAATAAATGGCATGCTTAAACTATTTACAATGTCATATTTAGATAGGTTTGGATGAATCTAAATGATAATTGTATTTATATGTCATATAAGTAAACAAAAAATGGCTTATATAACACATTTTAGCATCGTTTGTTTAAGTTTCCTTTTTGTGATGATTTTCGGTTTCACAAGCGTGTATTTTCCCGTAAGATGCTTATATTCTTACGTCATCGTTCTATGACGTCGGGTAGCTCATTCATAAAAAAGCATATGACGCGGGAGTACGATCGGAACAGCCCAAACAATATATTCATATTTTACCACGAGTGTGTACTCAAAGCGTTTGAAGAACGTCATGTTAGAATTTCAATCAACTTTGAAGCTATTTTGATATTGTATTAATACAGTTTGTGATTAAGTAAGTTTAAGGCGAAAACTTGTTTTGTGTGTAAGTAAATGACATTTGGTATGCAGTTGTATAAGTATTGCCGTATCTCATTTCCAAAGAGATTAGTTCGGCCCGTCCTCCCAGTCATGGTCCATTGGCTTTATCTATGACATTTGAAGTTTAACATTTGCATTGCTCTATCAAAATGAAACACAGTCTGTTCATTTTTCTGTGGCAGCAGTTTATTGCTTTCATCAATATTTCAATGTGTAAATAACTTTTTCGTACGTTTTCATCTCTCTTCCTTAATATGAAACAACGCTTTTGTATTTTAGTTCCTAAAAACCAGATTATCAAGACAACCTTGTGAAAGACTTATATGTAGTCCAGGTAGACAGCTTCTTCATGAGGGATTCTTAACTCTTGTTGGTAAGTTATATCTCCTGAATGGACCAACATATTCATTTTTATAAGAAGTGTGCCAAGAAAAATATGTGATAATTGTTTACCAGATATATGCTGGTATCCTGTTATTTTGGTAATTTATCTATTTTCAAATGTCTTTGGAAAGTATAATTACAAATATATTTTATGAAAATCTTTTATTTTTTAAACTATAATACGATTATTTTTTTAATAGAAAATTCGTGTAGGGATGATGTAGATAAAAATAAAATTCCTAGCTTATGATACCTTATTCCACAGTAAAAGATTGATAAGGTATTAGACAATAGACACTGCAGAAATTGTATGTCGAATGGGGATACAGATTTTGGTGTTATGATTAGCATGTTGTATTGTATTTTAACCAAACAGATGTACGGTACCAATTTTAATGCACCTGCTGCGCATTTTGAAAATAAATGTCACTTCAGTGATGCTCGAGGCCAAAATAGTTGAAAATCCAAAATTTATTAAAACAAATGAAGAACTGATAAACCAAGAAAGACCAAACGTAAAGCCAAAGCCGGGTATGTGAAGTTCACGTCAATGAGACAACAATTAAATCCAGGAGTTTACAAGTAGAAATCCAGGTGTATGCTTGTCTGTCTGTATATTTATATGTAATTGTGCAACATCCATCAACTTGAACAGCTATGTTCTGGCTTTCTGAAATATATATTATTACTGATTTTTTGCTTTCCTTATATTTTTCAGATTCTGCCAAATCTAATGAAATGTATGTGTTTCTTTTTGATGACATCTTATTAATAACAAAACCTAAGAAACTTCAAAGAAAGGTAATGAGTACTACATAATTCTTGGAAATTCTGTAAAAGCAAAAAGCATAACTTGCTTAATCTTAGTATGTTTTTTGTTGAGTTTTTTTTTTTTTTTTTTGCTTTGAAATTTAAAAATGAATGATGCAACAACAATCAAAAACTGTCAACTGAAAGTAACAAACAAGAACGTAAAAAAGAGTTGAGCGGCTATAAACAACAATTATAGGCAACAACACTCAATACACACTATACAGGGAGTGTTTACGCCAACACAGTAATTTTGACAGCATACACTGCATCCGCAGATAATTTAAATACTGCACCAAATCGGAAGGGTCCATGCTGTTTGCGATTCAAAAGGAACAGTATAGTAGCCCACAGTAATTAAATACCTACATTATAATGTACTGTTTATCAAACAATAAAACATTGTTTATCAAACGTTAAGTGTTATTTTTATTTTAGAGAAAGTACGTCATGTACGTACATGTTAAACATTAATATACATATTTGTTTAGGGGCCAGCTGAAGGACGCCTCCGAGTGCGGGAGTTTCTCGCTGCATTGAAGACCTATTGGTGGCCTTCAGCTGTCTGCTCTATGGTCCGGTTGTCTCTTTGACACATTCCCCATTTCCATTCTCAATTTTATTACAGAAATGATAAACCGAAAAATGAATATGGACGGTAAATGAGACAGCAACATAACGACACCAACACCTAAAATAACAGCTCGAGGTCAAAAACGGTTGTTACAATATATACAATACATTAAGTTCTAGATCGTTCCGAGTCCAGAAAAGCTGAGAATGAATTTAACGAGACTGTCAAAGATCTTCGATGAAATAGTTAAATTAATCCAAAACATAATGTGAAATACTACAAAGATATGTATATATAAAGACCTTTTTAAATGTACTCATAAAATTTTATTCTAATATAATTAACAAAATGTTTATTTCCTAAATTAATAAAAACAAAGTGAAGAAAGTATCAAACTTATTCAATAATATCTTTTTTAGAAACATTCATTTGATAGTAATTATATGAAGATGCAGACAATGTCAACAGTAGACAAAGGAACTTATGTTGTAATAAAACAACCAATGTCACTAGATCGACTCAGTTTACACGATATAGGTCATACAGAGGCGACAGGTGAGTCAACTTGTAACACCTTTCCTGAGTTAGGTCATATAGACACTAGAAACTCATTCAAATATTATGTTGATGACTGGTACATTCCCATATGAGCTTTTTGTCTACATCAAACTCATCAGTTGCTCTATTAGGAAAAGCAGTTAGAATATCATTTCAGTTTTTAATCTATCTTTTAACGACATAGATGTTTGCATGGTTTATGTCGAATAGACGTCAGGATTATGATAATGATTTCAAGACTGATATAGATGGAGTCGTCGTGATAAAACAAACAGAAAATGTAGTCACGTGGTTTTTGTAGGCTGTTTTCTAATGTGTCATTTGATGTAATTTAAATGTACCTGTACATGTATACCTAACAACAAAAATGTTTTCATTTACCTGTGTTTAAAGTAATTGCAAATGGCTGATATTTTTGTTCTAGCATATTGTTTTTCTTATATTGTTTAACATTTCACATATAACACGTATAACATGTTACTTTAATTATTCTTCCCTTAGTTTAATTATTTTGTATTTACATTGTATCATAGATCAAATTTATTTGTTCAGTGTATGTTCACTGGTGTTAATATGTCTTTTGATTGAGTTAAGCCATTTCAATTGATATTTTATAGTGTGTCTTTCTATGTTGTGATTTTACACTATTGTTTCAGATAAGGGTGAAGGTTTGGTACAATTAAAACGTTTAAACCCGCTGCAATTGTTTGCACCTGTCCTAAGTTAGGAATCTGATGTTCAGTAGTTGTCGTTTGTTGATGTTGTTCATAAGTGTTTCTCGTTTCTCGTTTTTTATATAGATTAGGCCGTTGGTTTTCCCGTTTGAATGGTTTAATAGTAGTAATTTTTGGGGCTATATATAGCTTGCTGTTCGGTGTGAGCCAAGGCTCCGTGTTGAAGACCGTTCTTTGACCTATATTGGTTTACTTTTATAAATTTTGACTTGGATGGAGAGTTGTCTCATTGGCACTCATACCACATCCATTATATCTATTTAATCAAGTCGTTCATTGTCCCTTTTGAATTATGTCACTTTGCTATTCAGTGCCATATATATTTTCATACGTTGTTGTACGGGTTTTCCTCGCCATTGAAATCCGTACTGTGACCTGTTCACTTTCTTCTTTTATGTGATAGGGTAAATGTGTCTCATTTGTAACCATAATACATCCTTTGTTTTAATATGTCATCAGATCTACTCAAATCACATGTTCAAAGGTTGTTATCTTATTGTGTTAATGAATCAACCTATTATCGACATTTTAGTTTATATATTTATTAGTATATATGATATAGTTTATGTCAAGATGTGACGGGGTAAACAAATAATAAAACAAATAACATTATTATTCCGACACAGTTAACTGATACTACGGATAAAATACTTCCGAATATGATATAAGCAATTTCTTGAAACATAGATTAATTTCATTAGACTTACCGAGAAATAATCAAGTCAGACTATGGTACACTGAACAATCAGTATAACAAGCTGATTATTTTACTCTCTTAAGGCTAAGTTACTGCAACTAGTTTTTTTAGAAAGAGGCTAATTAATTAACTTTTCCTACGCTAAACTAAATAAATGTAAGTTTTGTTTAGACTGATATTGTGTCTGCCATCAAGTTGCATTGGCCTTTAGATTTCAATTATAAACAAAAGAAAGCATAGTCAATTGTGTCTATGCATATTTAATATTTTGTTGACAAATTAAACAAAATGAACTATTTAAATAATGAAAAATGGAAGCAAAGCATTTTGTATTTCTAAATTTTACATTCTTTAAGGACTTAATAAGAATAAAATTGACACAGCTGCGGTTAGATTTTATTTTTTGGCACAGCGTGGAAAATCTGAATGCAACCCATAAGTGATCATTTTAAGATCTAGAGTGGTATACTTACAATGTGATTTCTAATTTCCCCCGACAATACGGATCACAATTTAACTTAACCTTTATATTGACGTTTTATGAACGTACGATTAATAGGATACTAGTTAACATGAATTAAACTATGAAATTTCACTGTTTTACTAAGCTTAAAGAATGTTTACAGGCCGGTACATACAAACGGAAGGATTTTATGAAATCATAGTTAGAACTATATATTCAGAAATGTTCTCAGTTGTTCAAAATTTTGTGATAGAACATAGTCAAAGTACATTAACGTTTAGGAAAAAGATTTCAATGAATACCATAAGGTCATCTGAAGATGACCAATCATAGAATTTCTGCAAATCTTAAGCGTCGCGACAGACAATTCTTACTGAAAAATTCATCAAAGATTGCCGATGCAGGCTTATAATTTTGTACGCCAGAAAGCATTTTGTCTACATAAGACTCATCAGTGGCACGCGAATGAAAACAGTTGGAAGGTTAAATCGAATACGAAGCTGTAGACCTTTATAACCCAAAAATTCCTTAATGATAAAACTTTTGCCAAATACGTATCAAAATGAGGAATATGATTTTAATCATGTATTGAAGTATCATGCTATATTTATGACTTTTGTTTTCCAGCCAACGGTTTAAAGAATGCATTTGTTCTTGTACAGATAAGTCGATATCAACAAGTTATAGGCGTATACACCTTCCAATGTCCGAATGAAATGATGAAGGTACTGTTATAGTAATATGAATTATTTATAACATTATGCATTTACAATTATGTGCAATGCATGTGTACAGAAGAAAGTTGAACACAATGCATACTTACAAATGTGTTTGAATTTGCATTAATGAAGGCAACAGTAGCATACCGTTGTCCAAAAGTCATAAATCGATTAAGAGAAAACAAATCCGGGTTACAAACTAAAATCGAGGAAAACACATCAACTATGAGAGGAAACAACGGAACAACAGAAACACTGAACTGCAACAAAAACAAACGCCAACATACATAGAAACGGACTATTTGATAACAACTGCCATATTCCTGACTTGGTACAGGACATTTTAAGAAAAATGGTTGGTTGAACCTGATTTTATGGTTAGCCAAACCTCCCGTTTATATGGCAATGTTAAAAAATATCGCTAAAATGACAACACTACGTGACATGAATACAGTACAAACAAACGCTAGAACATTCAGCACAAAGAAATGCATTAATTATAGACATCAATAATATGTAAATAACGACATTCATTTTGAAACGTCAAGACAGGAGGATATACAAATTCGAAAAAATCTGCACATCGTGTGCATCAAAGGTCTCATCACATTGATTTCATATTCTAAAACTTTATTTCTTTATTTTTACCCTTATGGAAAAATAAGGCTTCTTGCAAATATTTGCGGCAATGTTGCTGCAAATATTTGCGGCAATATTGCTGCAAATATTCATTTTTCGTATGTAAATTAGTTTTCTTGCAAACAGTTGCTGCAATATTGCCGCAACAATTTGCGGCAATATTGCAGCAAATGTTTGCGGGAAAATCAGTAGCTATGATTGTTGCAGCAATATTGCGGCAAATTCATTAGCTGCAATGTTGCAGCAATATTGCAGGAAAATTAATTTCTTGCAATATTGCAGCAACATTGCAGCAAATCTTTCAACAATTTCAGTTGAAAAATTAGGAATTAAAAACTAAGCATTTAAAAAAGTATGATTTAATAATAAAACAAAATTTTCTCTGTCCTCTATAGGTTGTTGTGTTACATATCTGTGTATCCTTTAGTTCTGTTTCTCTGTACTCGCTGTCCTTAAAGTTGAATTTTCTGATTTCAAATACTGCAAAATAAAAGTTGAAGAATTTAGCATACATTAAAAGAATAACTAAACATTATAAAGATATAAAGATATAAGTTACTATTATATATATATTGTAAATTCTGGACTTGTAAAATGAAAATAACTCTTTATAAAGAGATGATTACAGACCAATTTTTCCAGCATTTGTTTCACTTAAAAGGTTCGATCAATGTCTAAAAGTGATCAAGTCCTTCTAGAAATTGCATATTACTATAGAATACATTTAACCTTATGCCAGTTCTAGGTTGTTATTGCTTTTTTGAATATTTGTTTTTCATTGAACTATAACATAATTGGTCTTGTCTATTCTTTAAAATTTTTGTGATTAGTTGTGTATATATAAAAGCTAAATATTGTTGCCATTTGTTGATAGACCTCTTATTGGCAGTCAAATCACAGATCTCTAATTTAATACCAAACTGCTTTTATTAGAAGATTTCTTGTTTCAATTTAAGTAATGTACTTTCTAAAACATATAGTCTTAAAAAGATATAAAAAAATATCTCCTGTCTTACACAATTTTAACAATATTCATGTGCATAAATCTATTGTCTTATACTTTTGTCAACTCTATTAAGTTAAGAAAACTCTTTAAATATCACTATTTTGAACTGTAAGAGCAAGCACTTATTCAAAATGGTGGACATTCAACTCCATTGTACTTACCAAAAGATGTTATCCAAATTATGTGTAAACACCAATCTTCCTAAATCCAAGAGTGACATGTCAACTGAAGGCTATCATATGCACTATCCAGTGTCAACAGAATTAGTTGGAACTTTTGGATCTAAATCCATTGTAAAATTCATATTACTTTGTTCATGATAGAAGACATCTTTGTTTGTTGTATGCATGTTCATGTCCAGTTCAAATTTTGAATATGTTGATCAAGGTTGCTTAGGGTATTGTGACAGTGTGATCCCTTTGAAATTTGCCCCTAATTATAAATATCAATTGCCTAAATCTTGAATATTTGTTATATATTATAATAAAAAAATAATTATATATATATTTTTATTTTATCTTTGATGTTATAAGTTATAATGGAAATATATACAAAGAAGAAATGCTCTACCCTTAATTTGGCCTCAAACTCTGTGTACATTAATTTATGGTACTTCCTGTCTTTACCACTACACAGAGATAAATGAAAACCAGATGGCACATTACATTTCTATCACCAGCTCATATTACTAATTGAGATGAGAAAGATAATTTGTGTATACATAGTTTTAAAATAATGATACTAGAAATTAAACAAAATGCAACCTGCAGGTGAGGCTAAATTCATTTGATGGAAAATATTAGAATTAAAAATATTGTTCATAGAAAAATGTCACAAAAAAGTGACAAAAAGGCATAATAATACATGTAGAACAAAAATTATAATAATTATGACTCAATTATTTAGATTAAACTTGTTGAAATAAATACCAAAGTATTCTTGAAATTCTTTCCTTACAAAATATCACATAAATGTGATGTACAGTTTAGGAATTCTAAAAATATAAGCATTGTTATTTGAAGATTTATTTAAAATAAATTATTCAAATATCCGGATATTTCTGAGTAAAATAAAGTACGACGACAACAAATTTAGATAGTTAGAAGTATCCATAACCAAATGTTCAAAGAAACAATATGTTGTGTATTATTTGAACCTTAAATCTTAAAACAAATAATCATATGTAATATATTTTAAAATGCTTGAAATATTGGTGCAAACTATCTGATTGTCTGACATTATTAAAGAAACTTTTCTTGCAAAGTTGTTGCAATAGGTCATTCCTTAAATAATAAAAGAAAAGGTTCCTGCAACTTTCTAGCAAACAAATTCTTTCTTGCAACATTGCAGCAAACTTGCGGCAATTTTCTTGCAAACAAATTTTGTTGCAGTAACATTGCGAGAATGTTGCAGGTAGCTGCAACAACCTGCAACTTTCTTGCAAACACTTCTTGCAAACAAATTTGTTTGCTGCAATATTGCCGCTATATTGTTGCAATATTGCAGCAAACTTTTCATTTCTGTAAGGGTATTAAACTCTCTAAATAATAATCATTCAGGAACCTTCAAAAGGCGAAAATCTAATAGACTATCTGAATTCATAATTGATATAAAAGGACATTTAAAAGGATATTTACATGATAGGTGAGCATTGTGGAATCTGTTGCACACATACACGTAAAGAAAAAGAAGACATATGCATACAGGGTAAAATAATATTTTACATGAACCACGCACACAATGAAAAAATAAGTATCTTTATATATACGACTTTTGATTATATTATAACTAAATATTTTAGTCTCGTAATAGAAACTCCACGTTCCATGCATCATAATTTCTTCAATAATACACAATTATACGGCTGAAATACTGTAAAAATGATATCCGATAACTGACAAACAAATCATCATGATAACTAATTACGTCATCCTCAGAATTATTTTTATTCATAGGTCAAATGGATGGATAAGATTACAGAAGCTAGGGCTAGGATCGTATCGGGACCTACTAAAAACAATTCATTTTTGGATAAATTCAAGCAGTCCATAGCGTCACCACCACGTTCACCGCCAGTTAGCAGTGATTTTTTGAAAACCCGTAGAGCAAGACGACCACAGTCCTTGAAGTCTTCTCATGGAAAATCTCTGTCAATGGATGCAGTGTATTTATGACCCGGCTTGTAATGTTAATGAATGAAAAGACCACCAAATTAGCTAAGAGATATATATATTACATATTTTATATATGTCGAACTAGTATGAAAACGGAAGCTGCAAGAATTTTCGCTTGTTAGATTGTGCTTTAGAATAACACAAACATTCGACAAAACAAATGGATTGGAATTCTGATGTTTTAAACTATTTAAACCTTTTTAAAACTTAAAACATTAAATTTATATTAAATAATTTCAAAACCACAACTCAAATTGAATATTCCGTTTATATTCAGTTATGAATGTAGGAGATAAGAATTGTGACAAATTCATTCACATGTATACATTGTATGACATATTTAAACTTCTGATACAACAACTGTCAACATAATGTCAACCAGTTATCATTATTCAGGAAAAATAGAAGTTGCACAATTCTTTAGGTATTTTATTACCAATGTGACCCCAGACACATTTTATACAAAAACCTACATATCGTTCGTCAATAAATTTAGAAAGGATTAAGCTGAAGAGAAAAATCTGCACTACCTTCAGAAAATTATTACTCAAATAGCTCAACTGCATTGAATTAGTATAAATGTAACGGTTATCCATCTAAAGTTTGTTGAAAACATATATCAATATCTTAGAAAACTACAAATAAAGTGGTTAACTTAACGAACTTCTTCAAGGGTTTGAAAATTATTTACCATGGCATTGCCTACTATTGAACAGCGGTATACTTAGTTGCCTTTATCTACTATGTTTACAGAGACTAAACAAACAAGATGAAGAGATGGCACAAATCACCCGTGATAACAGACAAATGAAATGAGATATAAATTTTTCATAAATCATACTTTCGACATCAAAATACTACTGATACAAGTGTATTCAAGTACTTCAGATAAAAGAAACAATGTTCTACTTATTATTTGAAGATTGCTGCTAATCATTGTATTTTCTATTCTATTCAAACGTTTTTATCCGATGAATAAAGCAACAAAAATATCTAACTGAACGAGATACTTTTTCAAAAAGTTCCATTTATATGTTGAAATAGCATGTTCATTATTATATTTTGAATAATCAAGTTTTTTTTATTCATGCTATTGTTGTTAACATTTCATATCATTTCATGTCATGCTCACCATATCATATTTGTTAATGTTTTTAAACATATTTAAATGATATAATTGTTCAATAAAATACCAAGAAACCAAAAACAAAATGCTTATTTATAGGCCCCTTAGTGTCATTTAATTTTTAATTCAACGAGTATAAAAGGTTTTCTTGCAGCAATATTTGTTATTCTGTTTTTATAAGACGAGGAAGGAGATACCAATTAGGCTATAAAAAACCATGAGTCGAAGAAAAACAGTTTATACCATGACCAAAAACAATAAAAGACAAAAAGACAGACAACAGTTCGCAAATTACTTCACATAACACTAAAGAAGAACATATATCTATGACGTAAACTATTTCGATGATAATGATCTTTAAGTTAATCCCGGCACATGTTTTATGTTCCTCTCATAAGCCAGGAACCTGTAATCTAGTGGTTGTTGTGCAGTCTATCATATTTGGGTTTTTTTTAATCATGATTGTTTTATTATAAATCAGGCCATGGGTTTCACATTTTGTCATACCGTGCAATTATAGCTGACCATAGGTATCGGTTTTGCTCATTGTTGAATACCGTGAGGTGACCTTAAATTGTTTGTCATGAAACTGTATTTTGGGGTTTTTTCTGTTGTGTTCAAAATTTTTGGATAGTTTTCTTAATAGCAGTCATGCCACATCTCTACTTAAGTACTTTTATAATCGTATATGTTTAGTGAAGCCACAAAAATACATTTTCATCTCGTGTGTGTACTTGACGAAACACAAAATATAAACGAATATACCATATCGAATATTGAAAGGGGAAAGAAAAATGTTAAACCGCTTACGAAATTTAGAGGGTAAAATTTACCAAATAAAAAGCTTCGTGTCAAAAGCAATAGTTTTTCTATGTCAACACTAAGTTACATGTAAGAACATTTGATTTAAAAGATAGCATACTTCACGCATATATGTAGAGTGAACTGAAAACCGACATGTTATCAATTTCTTTGAACATGTTATGTAATTTACTCATTGGTATTACGGTTTAGATAATAGTGTTTGCCTGTCACTATTCATGAATTTAGACAAGAGATATACGGAAGTTTAAAATCAGTTCGATCTTGACTATGTTGTTGATTTTGTTTTTGTTTTTTTAGATTCGTTTGGTATTTATCTGGTTGGGTTTCTCCTTCTGTACATACATGAAACGTCACATGATTCATAAGACATGTCAGTAAATGAATAAAATAAAATAAGTAGTTAACCGATGTTCAAATCTCGCAAATCCATTAAGAATATACAAATCAGGATAAAGAAAAAAAACGAGGAAATCGCCCAAACTTTAAACGAAGAGAGACGGTGTGTCTACATTATTAGCGTCTCCTGTTGTGTATGCATCATCCGCCATGCGAATCCACACTCTCAATAAAAATGTTACTATAAAAAATAAGATACAAACGGTAAATTTACAGATCAGATCAGTTAGTGTTGACAAAACATAATGATAATATTAAAAAAAAATGATGGAAGAAAATCCAGAAAAACTCTTCGGAAACACGAAATTTATGCAGTGTTATTTTTGTTGACAAGCACTTTATCGATACCGCTTTAGGTGGACAGTTAGTCACCAATTATGTCATCAGCTCAGAAGTCAGTGCTCTGGTATAAAGAATTGACATGCAAAAAGAGAGGCAAAAGATACCAAAGGGACATTCAAACTCTAAAAAAAAACTGACAACGCCAAAGAAATAAAGCAAAAAGACAAAAACAAAGTAAAGTATACAAAACACAACATAGAAAACTAAAGACTGATGAGCAAAACACCAAAAACCGGGGGTGTTTTCAGGTGCTCCGGAAGGGTAACTAGATCCTGCTCCACATGTGGCACCCGTCGTGGTGCTCATATAAGTACAAAACCGGTGATGAGTCTAACTCGGTAGGCCACATTCGTGGAAAAGGAGGTCGAGATTGTGGTAAAAAGTACGACGATTGAAAAGTATATTCCATATCGGTCAACCAACTAATAATTGCGTTCGTAAAATTTCCAAAGGGATGATTAAAACTTCACCACTTGGAACTCTTGATTTAATAACTTCCTTGTGCCAAGCAACCCTATTTCAAACAAATCATGATAGGAAACGCAAGCCCTGGAATATCGTATCAAGTTGGAGATATATACTCGTATGCAGGCGCTGCTGGAATGTTGCTACATAGAAATGGAAAGTTCACAATTAGAAAGCTAAAATCATCTCTTTTGTCGTAAAGTTTTGTTCTCAACCGATTTACATGTAAGTCAAGATATGAGGTAGACTTAACTGTATCTGTTGTATTGTTTATTTCATGTTCGATGGGATAAATGCATTCAACATAGTACCAAACCTTATATTATTTTGTTAGAGAACATCATCTATATAGCGGCAATTGAAGTTAAAGGATAATACTAGCTTCTTATCATTCTTCCTAAGAAGTCAGCCTGTTATGAATCAAGGATCAAGGAACAAGACGGCGAGAAGAGGAGCACAGTCGGATCCCATGGAAATGCCGATTGTTTGTTTAAAGACTCGTCCTCCAAACGTAACAAATATGTTATCAATCAAGAAATCAAGCATCTTGATTAAACATAATTTTCTAAAAACTTGGTAAATTAAGAAATTATCTTACAAAAGTAAAGTTGCACCTCCCTCAAGCAAAGTGGGCCTTATATGGATTTGACTATACTATTTTGGTCATATTGCTAATCGTGTTTTAAGGTATTTATACAACCTAGGCTTTCAAATGTTTGGGTTTCAGCGTTCCTAATGAAAAGCACTTCGGAGGCACGAAATTTATGACATCACGAATGAAATTGTAATTGTTTAGATAATATCATCCTATTCATGTATCAATACAGTTAACGTGATTTTATAAAATTTGAAGCGTTTACTTGATTTTTTTGCAATTTTAGGGCTTAATAATTATAGGCTTCAGATTTAGTGAGAATTGGATAATGCTTGAAATCAATTCGATTTATTTAACTTCAATATGATAATAAACGAGCCTAAGGTTTATTATTAATATTTCAATTAATTAACGTCAAACTTTATAATCTGACATTAAAGAACTTTTTGTACGCTCCGGAAAGTAATAAATTTTAACAAAATGAATATTCTCAGGTAAAAAGTGTGAATGTTTTGTATATTACTGAAGACATCACATATTTGCGTTGCCATGCAGGAAATGTACATCGTTTTGACTTTTGAAATGGCAAATAGCCAATGGAAGTGTCACAATTACGTTTCATGATACTTAATAAGCAAATCAAATTAACGCATTTGTCGTATCACTTTTTCGAATCACACTCCGTTCAGTGTGATACGAGAATAATCTCTCTGTGCAAGAAACAGATAACGGGCCACAACCATAAGAGAACGGCTTTTATGATACCTCCTCCTTTCCTTTTAGTTTAAAAAAAAAAAGATCAACTGTAAAGATCAACCAATTCACAATGGTAGTCGTAGAAGTAACTACCTGATGATCATTTCACATCTTTTTGAATGATCAGCTGTAAAGATCAACCAATTCACAATGGCAGTCGTAGAAGTTACTACCTGATTCATTTCACATCTTTTTGAATTAAGAATAAGCCTTTTGTTAGTTCTTTATTATCTTTATTTACATTTTATTATTTGAAAACAATACTATCTTAGTTCATTAATTTAAAAAACATAATTGGTGTGTCTTGACATCTCGCTTTGGAAAAATAAAAAGCTCTTTTATCGTATAGTGTTTTTAGATCACTTTTCCTGACTCTGTTTTCTCTGAAAAAAGTAGAACATATAGAACTATAAAAGATATGTTTTCTTAAAATGTCCTGTACCAAGTCAGGAATATGGCAGTTGTTATCAAATAGTCCGTTTCTATGTATATTGGCGTTTGTTTTTGTAGCAGTTCGGTGTTTATGTTGTTCCGTTGTTTTCCTCTTATAGTTGAAAAGTTTCACTCGGTTTTGGTTTGTGACCCGGATTTGTTTTAGTGAAAAGCGGTATACTACTATTGCCTTTATTTCTTTTCACCAAACTTATACATTTGGTTGAAATAATAAATTACAATAACGTGCCTTTTGCAAACATTTTATATCCTTAATTTAAACAGTGTCCCTCGGACAGACTTTATAATAATATCAATATAACGTTGATGAAGCCTTGAAATAGTTATATGTGATATATGTAGATTGAGTACTTTTTAATAGATTTTAACATTCCTGAATACCTGAACCTAATCCCTTGTTATGATAGGGTTTGTATTGTTCAATAGTTTTCTGTGTAGTTTTGTTTATTTTGCCTTTCTTTTGGTCGCCATAGTGTTACTGCTCATTGTTTTGATTTGTGGTTGAATTTAACAGGTATATCAAAATCTGGAGCATCTCATCCAATCGCAAAGGTAGTTTGATTGCGTACTAGTAGTTGTAAATTGGTTGGAGTCTGTGGAACTAAACAGAAATTTTTTAAATAACTTAACGTTAATAGTGATAAAATGCAGCCTAACAAAATCGTAAAAGCAATAAAAAGAAAGTACAAATAAACCACAAAGCGTAAAATGTCAACCAAATAACGTCAAGATATAACAACATTATGTAAAGATATAACCACATTATGTAAATATATAACCACATGCTGTAAAGATATAACCACATGCGGTAAAGATATAACCACATGCTGTAAAGATATAATCACATGCTGTAAAGATATAACCACATGATGTAAAGATATAACCACATGCTGTAAAGATATAACCACATGCTGTAAAGATATAACCACATGCTATAAAGATATAACCACATGCTGTAAAGATATAACCACATAATGTAAAAATATAACCACACTATGTAAAGGTATAACCACATACTGTAAAGATATAACCATGTAACGTAAAGATATAACCACACTATGTAAAGATATACCCAAATAATGTAAAGATATAACCATGTCACGTAAAGGTATAACTACATTATGTAAAGATATATCCACATAATGTAAAGATATAACCATGTAACGTAAAGATAAAACCACATTATGTAAAGATATAACCACATAATGTAAAGATATAACCACACTATGTAAAGATGTAACCAAATAA